AGCATTGAGTTCAAGTGTAACAACAAAGTTTGATACCAAAGAAAGGTGAGTATGAAAAACTTTCAAAGAAATGTTAATAGTGGGGATTTTGAGGAAAGCAAATTGTATTTGTACAATTAAAAAACATTATTTTATTTAATATTGAATTTTATAAAATATACACAAAAGCAGAGTTATAAACATGAAGCTCACAATATATATATTTTTTTCATTGCAATGTGTAGTCAGTAGTATCACATTTTTGTTTTTGTATACAGTAAATACAACGCGTGCAATAAACTCAACTAGGAACGCGAGTCCTTCGTGTTCAGGAGGGAATCATTTAGTCGACGTACCTTCCATTTCCTGCTCTCGACTGGAAACAAAACCCGACTTCAGCCAAAGCAAGTTGTAAACCCAGGGTACAATTCGTCATCTGCATCCATTTCGATTTTTTATTCTGAAGTCGAAGTTTTCAGAGCAAATATGGGGGTTCCGAAATTCTACCGCTGGATCTCAGAGCGCTATCCGTGCCTCAGTGAAGTTGTCAAGGAACATCAGGTAGGAAAACTAGCGAGAAATGTCGTTAGCTTCATTCCACTGTAAGCCGCGGCGTTAGCTTAGCTTGTCATAGGCTATTATCAAGATAAGAGAGCGAATAACTTTTATATCTCCTACAGTACTATGGATGGCGCTTAGGCAATAGTCAACTAATGTTAACAAACCAGCTACCGTTCGTGTATTTTCTTGGCAACTTTGTAACCCTAAACCCACACTAATTAGCAGACTTTTTGGTCTTTTATGCATAAATGAAAACTTAGGTAGGTCAAAGGTGAGTACATTGGGTTAACGTGTTATAGTTTGGGTCGCTGTTAAACAAGAACATTCTGAGGTACAATAAGGTGCAGGTAGTCAGCTAGTTCGGTCTAACAACAATAACTGAATTCACAGCTAGTTATTGTTGTCGCCTGTGTCGCAACCAACTTTGTTTACAGTATTTGTAAACGTTATCATCCAGTGATGATGGTAATCACCGGGCCAAAACGAAGCTATCCTTAAATATTAGGTTTCTTGTTCTTCAGTGAGGCTGGACTTTAGTGACCTAGTTCCCTGTTTGTTGAGACAGATAGTATTTCAGTGCTGCTGCAGCAGTTTCGTCAGCCGAACACTCCTGGGCGTCACACTCGTTACGTTTTGTAGAATAACAAGAGGTTGGTTTATAGCATTTCTGGAAGTTTCCACTCTTTATTGTCACTGGTTGTTAGGATATGCTTTAATGTATTGTAAGTTTTCCATTTACCCCAATTACAATAAGCTTAGGACAATTTACAAATATAACATAAACATTTTCAAAAGTTAAAAATATTAACTTCATTTACATAGCAAATATTCAACAATATTTTTAATGACTTGTCACCTAAAATGTAAACAAAAGGTACATACTTTAAGATAAGAATGTCAAGGCTCCTGACTCATGTTGACAACAGTGTATTGTTCCTTTCATTTTAAATGTACTGTATGCAGCTGTCATACTGATGATGGCTATATACATCCAACCAATATTAAAGTTGAAATAACGACATATAAAACCCAATAGTTATTATAAAAACTTGGTATTCATCCTTTTCTATAAACTTAGTAAAAACTTGGTATTCATCCTTTTCTATTTTTCAGATCCCAGAGTTTGACAATCTGTATCTGGACATGAATGGGATTATCCACCAGTGTTCCCATCCCAATGACGAGGACGTCCACTTTCGCATCTCTGAGGAAAAGATTTTTGCAGACATCTTCCATTACCTGGAGGTTCTCTTCAGGATCATCAAGCCTCGCAAGGTTTTCTTCATGGCTGTGGATGGTGTGGCACCAAGAGCAAAGATGAACCAGCAGAGAGGACGGAGATTCAGGTGTGTACAAGGACAAATCTGTGCAAAAGTAACCAGATTTCAGACAAGAATCAGGTTTCACTCAGGTTTAGACTTTGACCTGTGTGTGATCTGTGTCTCTGTTTCTTTAGATCTGCCAAAGAAGCAGAAGACAAGATAAAGAAAGCCCTGGACAAAGGAGAAGTCCTTCCTACGGAAGCTCGCTTTGATTCCAACTGTATCACACCAGGTATGAAAGGCCTATTATTTAACAGAAGGAAAAAAAACCCAGTAGTAAGTAAATGAAGAAACCATTTTTTTCTTTGTTTATACTGAAGTAATTCAAATTGTTACCAATAAATTGACTAAAAGCATTTAATCATTAATTATTTATCTGCTTTCTGAGTGAAATTAGTTTTTTTAGAGTTATCCAAATAAAAAACATCTGTTTTCCAGGCACTCAGTTCATGGTGAAACTGCAGGAGCAGCTGAAGTATTTTGTCCACAACAAACTCTCCACTGACAAGTTGTGGCAGAACGTCAGAGTGTACCTGTCAGGTCATGAGGTTTGTATCAACAGGCTCCTTCCCTCAGTCATTCTGTTTCAGCAGCTGATGAATATTGTTGGTACTGAGTATGAGTTCTTTTTCAGACACCGGGGGAGGGAGAACATAAGATCATGGAGTTTATTCGCTCAGAGAACAGAAAACCGGATCACAATCCCAACACTCGCCACTGTCTTTATGGCCTGGATGCCGATCTGGTATGTTATAATGAAAGATATATGTACACAGGGTCTCAGCTCAGTTGGATTTAAATTGTTTATTTGAAAACTTCTGAGAACAGCTTTTCTATACCTACATGTTCATACTCCCTGTCTTCACTCACTTCTTCGTAGATAATGTTGGGTTTAACCAGCCACGAGCCAAACTTCTCTCTCCTCAGAGAAGAGGTTCGATTTGGAGGAAAGAAATCTCAGAAAAGGTTTTTTTTTTTTTAAAGTAAGTTTTTCATTTTTTTTCCTTTACCGTGCTAAACATGGCTGCTATTTTGTTCCTCCCACACTAGGATAACGGCACCGGAGGAGACGACCTTTCACCTACTTCACTTGTCCCTGATGAGGGAATACATCGACTACGAATTTTCTGGGATTAGGGTAATGCACACACATGTCTGATGCAAATCATTAAGCAAAAGTATTTTTTTACCAGTTAACTGTGTTTCTTAAGATTTTACTATTAACTTTTTTTTTTTTTAATGTTCTGAATAATCTGATTTTTCAGAATCACATTGGTTCAGAATATGACTTGGAGCGAATAATAGATGACTGGATCCTCATGGGCTTCCTCGTGGGAAACGACTTCATCCCTCATCTTCCTCATCTCCACATCAACCATGATGCTCTGCCTCTCTTGTATAAGACCTACATCAGTATACGGCCCAGTATGGAGGGTGAGATGGATGGATCATTATTATATTGTTTCATTTTTTTTTAGTAATGTTGTTGTAAATAAATTATTTTTTATATAACTTACTTTATATTAACTTTGTGTTCTGTGTTTTTCTCAGGTTATCTGAATGAAAATGGCCATCTAAACCTACGAAACTTTGAGAAGTACATGGAGAAACTTTCTGAGGTAAAACAGTGTTTTATTGCTCAGTTTTTAAATGAATATATGATCAATAGAAAGATGTTTGACTTTTTACATTTATGGGATTTAAATGTAGAATATCTTAATATTCTCTAAAAGTCCAGAGCATAAATTAGGCATTTCTGGCGTGAGATCATCAGTACATCTGGTAAATTTAAAGTAATATGGATTTACACACAGGTATATGCAGAGGCAGTAGATTATATATCAAATGGAGTCGCATTGTTTGTACTGACCAGCTTCAGTAAACACCAGGTGTCTAGTTCACAACTTTTTGATACTCTAACTGTTTTTTCTCTACTCCCTCTGCCTCCTCCACCCTGCTCCATCCAGTTTGACCGTGAACATTTTCAGGAGGTGTTCGTAGACCTTAAGTGGTTTGAGAGTAAAGTTGGTAACAAGTATTTGAATGAGGCAGCTGGACGAGCTGCTGAGATGGAAGCAGAAACCATGAACAAAGCTGAGGTAGATATGGTGTCATTTCGCTCAGGTAACGTGTCCACCACTGTGCATGTTGTCGGTGTAATGAACTGGTTTTTTGTGTATGTGTAGGACTCCTCCATCTCCCTGGCAGCTCTAACTGCAGGTGTAAAGATGGCTGAACCTGAGGAGGAGGAGGACGACATATTTGAAACTGAGTTCAGACAATACAAACGGACTTACTATATGACTAAGATGGGCGTGGATGTGGTGTCTGAGTAAGTTATGGTTTATTTTAAGGATCCTGAAAACTAGTAAATACCAGGTTTTATAATATTGTGTTAAATCATCTTTTACAAAAATCTTAACACTGTTTGTGTTATTTTGCTTTTAATAACTACCTATTCTAATAATATAAAAAGTATCCAAAATATATTTTGCAACCAAAAATGTACAGACTCCTCTGCAATACCTAATACTGAATCTTCCATTTGCAGTGAGTTTCTTGCCAAGCAGGCCAAATGTTATGTAGAAGGCATCCAGTGGATTCTCCATTATTATTACCATGGAGTTCAGTCCTGGAGTTGGTAAGAAAACAATCACATACTGTCTGTCTTATTACCAGACTTATGTCTAGTCACGGAGACATTTCTTATGTCTCTCTTGACATAAACTGTCTTTAAATACTTTGTGTGTCTCCAGGTACTATCCCTACCACTATGCCCCCTTTCTGTCAGATGTGAGGAATATCTCAAGCTTAAAATTGACCTTTGACCTGGGCAAACCCTTCATGCCTTTTGAGCAGCTTTTGGCTGTTCTGCCTGCTGCCAGCTCTGAGCTGCTTCCTGAAGCTTACAGGGTAAAGCAAAAAAATCACATACATGCACACAAAAAACTTTCATAGACATGTTTCTATTTTGTTTAAAATGTTGTAGTCAGTAATTTATATTTCATTTTTTATGTTCATCTGTATGTATGAATGTATAAGAGATGGTTTTGTAAATGTTGCAGCATCTGATGACCAGTGAAAACTCTAGCATTATTGAGTATTACCCACTGGACTTCAAAACCGACCTCAATGGCAAGCAGCAGGAGTGGGAGGCTGTGGTTCTCATCCCCTTCATTGATGAGGTAAAAACTCACCCCCTCACCCAGAAAAAATGTTACTGAAAGCTTGTGATTGATTGATTGTGGGTTTGTGTGTGTGTGTGTTTGTTTTAAATTTTCAGAAATGTTTACTGGCAGCCATGGACCCCTGCAACCAAAGGCTGACAAAAGAGGAAAAAGCCAGGAATGGCCACACAGAGTGCGCTGTCTACACCCATGACAGTGAGGCCGACTTCACGTATCCGTCGTCTCTGCCGCCGACGTTTCCAGACATCATCCACTGTCACGTCAGGTACAAACAGTCACTGAACCACTCATGCATGTGTTTCCTTGACTGTCGCATCAAAATAAATGTAAATATATACAGGTTAATAAATGTTTAGCTTGAACCCGATGTGACCAAATCTTACTTTTAATTGACCAAATGTGTAAAGTGTGAATTGTTGTCTCCTCCCTCGCCTGATACTCCCCCTGAGACCCTAAAAAGGATTAAGATGTGGAAGAAGAATATAATTTAAATAATTAAATTAAAAAATAAACAATTTCTTCAGGCCATATTGCTACAGGTTAGGCTTGGCAGTGTAATGAGATTGTAATTGATCACCACAGGAAAGCACACATTCCTATGGATGCTTGGCACGTGACTTTGGACCACGTCAGCAGGCGGTTGGACCGCTCAGCTCTGTACTTCTGTGGCTTCCCCACTCTGCAGCACATTAAACATAAGGTACGTGTACCTAGGACAGAAGCTAGACTGTTTTAACTTTTTTGAAGTGGTGGTTTATGATGCATATGTGTATTGTTGGTGTGTTTAAAAACAAAAAAATGTCTAAAGCATGTTTTGATGACATGTTCTGTTCTGTTGTTTGCTTCTTGTTTTTTTAGTTTTACAAAAAGAAGAGTGGAGTGGTTGTCTTCCAGCAGAGCAGCAGAGGAGAGAACATGATGCTGGATATTCTGCCAAGAGAAGAAGAAGAGCTGGTAGTTAAACAAAAGTTTTTTTGTTTTTTTTTCAATTATCAAGAAAAATTAACATAATTTTTCCTAATTTAGTGGTTGTGATCATGTAAAAATGTATATTTCTGTTAGTCTGTTTTCTTTTAGTCTCAGTTTCTTTCCTTATTTTTTGTGTCGGTAGACATGTGAAGATGCTGCTGCGAAAGTGCTGGGAAAATCCTTGTTTGTCAACTGGCCCCATCTTGAGGAAGCTCGCATCATTGCAGTGTCAGACGGAGACACCAAGTATGAAAAAACAGAAAATTAAGTGTTACCATTTCAGCCAGAGTGATGAGTGGTACATGTTGGTACACACATGCAGAAAACAGTGGTGATATTAAAAGAGTTATTTTATTTTTCTCTACAGGTTTCGCCTGGATGAATCAGCAGGTGATCAGAGAGTCTACGACCGATCCTCATCTCCTCCTCCGACCAAAGTCTGTTATCTTTCTGACAAGGAGCAGAAAGAATGGGTGAAAGAAGTCCAAGGAATCACTGAGCAGTAAGACTAAAAAAAACCTTGTTTAGAAAATATCTTTCCATACACAAGTGTTTTGAAATGCTTCATCTTTGACTCCCCACAGCCTGTCTCCCTTATATATCAGTGAACCTAGTTGATGTGATTTTTTTTTTTCCCACAGTTTCATGAAAAGAAAAGGCATCATCGTGAACGAAACAGCAGTGGTTTTGTACGGCCAGCTGTTGACAGGAAGGAAGTACATCCCTAAAGCTAATGGAGCGGTGGAACTTGAGAAGCAGTGGTCCAAACAAGTTTTTCCTTTCGCCTACCAGACTGTGGTCAAGGTACATAAAATACATACATGACAACCTCTGCCAGTTTAGATGTAGGCAAAAAACCTCACAAATCATTGACAGAAGTAGTGTTTTTCAACCTTGGGGTTGCTGCCCCATGTGGGATCACCTGGAATTCAAACGGGTTCCCCTGAAATGTGTAGTAGTTGATTTAAAAAAAAGATTGCTGATACACTTTTTTATTTATAGACATTTACAAAAATGTGTGATGTAACAATGGGGTCACATTCTCATGACTTTGCCACCAACTCTCTCTGTGTTGTATTTATTTTTATTCAACTTTTCTCTTGACAGGACATCGAGGCCTTTTACTCCTCTCTAACCCATTTCAGCAGCTTAGATGAGCTTTTCCCTCCAACAACCACTGTATTCATGGTGGGAAACCCTTACTACGGTGCCATGGGTGAGGTACGTCATCTGCATCTTTTTTTCTCATTTTTGTATCCTCTGATTACTGAATAATATCTGTGGAAACTGACATTATCTTCATGCATGTTTATGTAAATCAGGTGCAGGATTCCAGTGATGTCATCAAAGATGGCCGAGTGCGTGTAGTCTTCGGTGTGCCTCCTGAGCCACAGCTTGAGTCTTTAATCCAGAATCAGCACGTAAGGAATTCTGCTCTTACCTGCTGTCAGTTAAGAAATCTGTTGGCATGTTGAACACCTTTTGTCATATTAATGTTTTGGGCATTTGGTGTTTCTTCAGAAATACTGTGTCAAATACAGTCCAGGGTATGTGCTGGCGTCTCATCTTGGCATCAGTAGCTACCTGGTGTCTCGCTTCTCTGGGAGCATCTTCATTGGCAGAGGCTCTAAGAGGAAGTGAGTGTTGATTTCAAATGTTTTACCATAAAACCTTGGGTTCAAAATTGGGGTAAGGGTCACAAAAAAGGCTTTTACTGTTTTGCCACATCACATCTGCCACATTTAAATCAATTTAGTTTAATTTAATTATTATACCTTAATATATTTTCAAGGTGTTGGGTGAATAAACACTTGTGTTTTGTACTGTCGTCCATATTTGTATGAGCTACCCTAACCTAATCTTGTCACCTTCTCTGCATTCAGTCCGTGTGGGGAGCAAAGGGCCAACATTGGCCTGAACCTGAAGTTCAACAAGAAAAATGAGGAGGTTCCTGGATACACCAAGAGAACTGAGAGGGAGTGGCTCTACTCCTCTGCTGTGGAGGATCTGCTGGCTGAATACGTGGAAAGGTAAAAGGTCCTATTGGTGTTGAGTTTCTTATTTCTTCTCAGATAGTTTGGAACACAGAGTAGAGTCCAAAAATCAATGAAATAATAAACTTCTATTTTTCTATCTATAAACTTTTGGAGTCTGTGAAGTGTAAATTTGTATTTTGTCAGTATAAGCATTTTCAGACAGCTATTATCTAAAATACTTTTATGATTTTTTTTTTTCAGTTTATACTTTTGCAAGCAAATGCGAGACAGTTTATTTTAATCTGTTAAACTAAATTTTTGTTTTTTGTTTATTTTTTTTATTAGGTTTGCTGAGGTTTTCAACACAGTATCCAGGAACAGTCACGATGATGTTTTCTATGAAGATGACATCTGGCCTGGAGAAGAACAGAATGGGTGAGACACTTATAGCAAAGCTGCTAAACCTGTACAGTTGCACTATATGAACTTGTAACTGTGATAAAATCAAAATTGTAATACCAACAATTGTCCCCCAGAGGATTAATAAAGTATTTCTGACTCTGACTCCTCAGGGCAGAAAAAGTTTCTGAAATCACCTCGTGGCTGAAAAGTCACCCCGTCAGCTCCATCAGCAGATCATCAGGTTCTTGACGCTGCCATTGTGGAAAAGATTGAAGAGGCGACGGACAAAACCAAGGTGACTCCCAGAGGGGCTTCTGCACTGCAGCGACCTCTCAACTGAACACATTTGGATGTCTTCCATTTTACCAGTGTATGTTCTCACTTTGACTTCTCTCTACTGCATTGCCTTTTCTCCTCTCTAAGGTGAAGAAGAACATCAAGAAGGTCCGTGTGACTGTTAAGCCTCATCTGCTCTTCAGGGTGAGAACAACGTTCTGGATTTCAACGTCACGTCAAACTTACATTGACTTTGTCCAAATGTCGCAGTGATGATTGATGTCGGTGTTTGTATGTAGCCGCTGGAGCAGCAACAGGGCGTGGTTCCAGACCCGGACGCAGAATACCGGCTCTTTGACCGAGTCATCAACATCAGAGAGAGTTTCACCGTCCCACTTGGACTCAGAGGGACGATCATTGGCATCAAAGGAGGTTGGTGAATGCACATTCGTTGAAAGAATGGGAATTTATTTATATATATTAAAAAGTAAACTTTAATGCAGGCATTTAATTTAAATGTCTTTAATTAACTTGTGTGTGTGTGTGTGTGTGTGTCTCAGCTGACCGTGATGCTGAGGTACTGTTTGAAGTGTTGTTTGATGAAGAATTTGCCGGTGGTCTGATAATCAGGTGATCACACTTTTTAAACATTATTATTTATTTCACATGTATTCACCTGCTGTGTCTTCCTCTGAACAACAAACTGATTTGTTTTTAAACCAATCATGTGACTGCTGTGTCTTTGGTCCACTCAGATCTACGTCACACCGTGGTTACCGCCTGCCTCCCTGTGCTCTTATCAATCTCTCCCATGGAGCCAGAATGGACCACACCTCCCACAAACTCACTGCTATCGTCAAACCACAGCCTGTCACTGGAGCTAACTTTCACTCAAACCGCCAGCTGGCCGGACTCAACCATTCTCCACAGTCACCTTTCATACCCACACAGGTAAGAGTTGAACGACTCTCATCATACTTTATCTTTGTGTTGATAAAACATTTATTTATGTAATTTCTTTTTTTTTTCTCATTATCCTCTCACACTTGCACTTCTTCATCACTTCTCTGCAGCACCAAAACAAACATAACAGCACGGCGAAAGCAGCATCGTACAGCAACAGGAACGCTCCATTTAAGGGTCTACCTTCCAAACCTCAAACCAAGGTAAATGTAAGGCTGTAATGTTATGTATTTCCTCTGTAGTCTTGCCTTTCTCTCTTGCTTTCTTTGACACAGAGAGAGAGAGGGAGAGCTAGCAGAGGGTGTTGGAAAGGCCCATTGGTTTCCAAAGTGGGGGGGTTCAGCAATAATATTAATTTAAATAAATACCATTAGTTGTAGCACAGTCAGGAAATAACAGTAAAAAAAAAGTTCAGTTGGAGTTTTGAGCTAGATATAGTTTTGTCCACAAGAGGGCAGGCTTGACAAGTCATATTTCTACTCATTGTCTCAAATAAAGAAATTTAATTCAGAACAATCATTAGACCATTGATTTAGACCCCAGAGGGAGGAATTGGTTTCTGCATACTTATTGTTGACAAACACAGTAAAGAAAAATCATTACATTCTCTACCTTTAAGCACAGATTAACTAAATTACATGCACATACTTTGTTCCCTGTGTATTTAGAATAAAGAAGAATGCAGTAATGTGTGGCAGTCACCACAGAACGTGGCTCCTCCCAACAAACCTCCAGCTCACTGGCACAACCATGTAAGAGCATGTGTGTGTTTTAGAACCTTCAGCAGTTACACAATGGCATTGTGGTTCAGCACTTCACAGTGACAAAGTTGGAAAGAACTTTAGTGTCAAAGTTATATTTTCAATGCCACCAGAAACGTTTTGGAACTAAGAATTCTGTTTTTCCAACTGTAGGAAGGTCACTCACAGCCAGGAAGGCACCAAAACCCAACCCCTAACAAAGCTGTGAGTAAACACACACACACACACACACACACAGTCTGTATGTCCGTCAGGCTGGTTTTTACCATGTGACTGTACTTCACAGGCACCGACTGGTGGCATCAGGCTGTTGAGGAAAAATGAAAACCCTGACGCTCTGTTTCCTGCACAGAACAACAGTGAGAAGGTAAAAACAGCTCACGACCACAGTCGAGTTTCCCTTGATTTCACAAATCCAAACATTTACTAAGTCTTGTTTTAAACTTTAAGCTCACTTTCAGAATGTTAGTGTACACTGAATTGGAGCTACAGATATGAAGGAAGAGAGAGGGTAGTGGTGCAGTGGTGCAGGACCTGTACCTAACGGTTTTGGTTTGATTCCTCTTAGTCCTCCATCCCAGGTTAGGTTCTGTCAGGAAGTGTTTTTCTTCTTCTTTAATGAAAGAAGAGAAGACAAGCCTACAGTATTAGCTGCTTGTGGTTTTGTCAAGGCCTCGTGACCTTTGACCTGTTAGTCCTGGACTGTTTGTGATTGACCTGGTTTTCCTTATTCATTACAAATATTGTACGTCGTCTCTCACTCAGGCGTCAGCTGAGTTTGCAGACCTCCTTGCTAGTCTCAAGATCTCTAAGGGAAACACGCAGAGTCCGCCTCCATCAGCTGCTGCAGCAGAACCCACCAGCCATCCTGAAGGACCACTGTCCCCACAGTCCTTCGCCATGGTAAATACTACTGACTCAGGCTACTCATGTTTCTGTTGCATTGACATTTTTTCCCTTATAATCGGACATGAATTCTAATTCTTTCTAAAATTATTTTTATAAACAACTTATCATGTTATTGTCAGGGAGACTAAGTTGTAAAAATGAATTAATGTCATGAGTTCTTAGTTCTGTGCTTTCTTGTTCTTGTTCTGATAGAAGGGAACTATGGTGCTAAAAGAAATGCTAAAGATCGACAGCTCCAGCACAGAGACTCCTCCAGTGCAGGACGACACCAGCACGCCCACGCCCGGGAGTCGGCAGCAGAACAGGAGCCGCTCGTCCAAGAAACTGGGCACGTTCCTCCCGCAGACACAACCGCACGTCTGACTCTGAACTTTGAGAAGCAAATGTTCTTATTTGTTCCTGTTTGTGCTTCTGCAGCCGCAAAGATGAACTCCCCACATGGTGACATGCCGTTAGCTCCCCCTCCCTCAGCCAACCCCAACGCCATGCTGGGCAGTAAGGTGTCAGAGCTGACATGTGTCTGCGTGGGTTTAGGGATGGCCCCGCCTGAGTTCAGCTTTATATGCAACAGACAGGTAACGTCATTGATTTAGTACCAGAATCTTAAACATTGACAAAGAATTCACTGAATACTGAATACTTTTTCAAAATTGAATTTAAAATCTCTTTTATTTCATTATTGGTCTTTCTCTTTGGCCTTTTTGCTCCAAGACTGTTATTCTGCTCCACAGGGTTTAGTCGTGTGTCAGGTGAAACTGTCCAACGGTTTGATGGTTCACGGTCCGCAGTCGCAGTCTGAAAATGAGTCCAAGGAAAAAGCTGCCTTCTTTGCCCTGCAGAGACTGGTGTGTAACATGAACTCACACACACACACACACACACACACACAGGTTCATGTGACAGTACTTATCCTTTCACACCTGAGGTTATTTGTCTCATTTTAGTCTCTTTTACTCTTTTACTTTTACTCTTTATTTCACAGTAATTACACTCTTGTTCTTGTCCATCCTTAGAACTCCATGGGATCAGGGTTCCCACTCACCTACCCAGGTGTGGGTCAGATACGACCTCCACCTTTGGGCCCCATGACTCGTATGCTCAACCAACAAGGTCAGTTTAAAATAGAAAAAGTCAGGCAAAAAAACACAGGCTATAAGTGATGTCACAAAGTGTCTGTTCAAACTTTGAAAATTCAAACATATAAGACTAAGTGACATCTCAATTTGCTTGATAGGAAAATGAGTAAAGAGTGAATAAGTAAATGTTACCGGTGTTGGAGGTGAATATAACTCCATGTTTTTCTGCTGCTGGTTCTCTTCCTTGTGTCTGCTTCAGTGTTGCCTCACCCAGGTTATGTTCCTCCCCCTCTGTGGGGAATGACCGCTCCCCCACACCACCACAACAAACCCTTCTACGGCGCAGCAGGGACCTTCCCTCATGGTGTCCGCCCACCACCTGCAACAACGTTGCCCATTGGTTCCCATAACCAGTTCATACCTCTACAGGTAAAACCCATAGTGAACAGTAAAACACTGTGTTATTTTTGACCTCCCATTGACAGGAATCTGTCGTTCCGTTTGCCCTTCAACCGCACAGGTAACCAAGAAGCGTGTTTCAGTAAACAAAAAGAACCAGGAAAGCAGAGAGTTTTACAGTGCTGCCCACACCGTGGCCAGGAACCAATCACAGAGAGCCCAGAACCAGCCCGACGTCCAGTCACAGAGTCGGAGTGAGCCTCAGAGCAGACAGATGGGCCGGCCACACGCAGATGCTGCGAACAGCAACGCCTCGTTATCCTCAGTGAATCAAGCCGACGGTGTTTCCACGACAGCAGCAGCCGCACAGACACCACCACGACAGAACAACCCAGCAGCACAAGGTCACACACCGGGGTCCGCCTCCAAAAGGAGGTATAGGAAGCTGGCCGTCAACTTTGAAGCTGCCAAAGTCTCAGAGGGTTGAGTGTGTGTGTGTTTGTTGGTGTGTGTGTTTGTTTTTGTTTGTGTGAGAGAGAACAGAGGTAGGTGTTGTTTTTACAAATTGCAAAGTTTCTCTGGAACAAAACCGATGGTCTTTGGTAACGTCTGCTGCTACATGTTTTACTGCCAACTCTTTCACAGAGAAGTTTCAACATAGCAGTTCGATTGCAGTCCTGGGTTACTTATGTCGACATCAACTTACTCTGACTGTTGTGTACTTTTTTTTTTTTTTTAATTGAGGCTCATACTCAGTGTCTTTAATTTTACACTGGTCTGGTGATGAGAGGCAGTCAGAGCTGTTAATTAATTAATTTGAGACTATTAGCAAACAACTAAAATGTATTAAAGGCTTTCCCTAAAGATGTTTAGTGTTCATTTTAGCTGTGAAAATCTGTAGACGGACCACAAACCACTTTGCTGAGCTAAGATTTCACTTGTCTCCTTCACTGGCATGATGTTGGGATGTTGATGTTGGGGACCACGCAAACCTCCTGAGGGGGACAGCAGTGAGTTCGTTTTTTAAAAAATCTCAGTTGGGCATGGTGCGGAGTATCATTTGACCAAAAAGAGGTGTTTTAGTTGATCCAGTCTTGTTTTGTAGAAGGCTAAAGTTGTTTCTGTTTCAGCACCATGGAAAGTGAAACAACAATGTGTATGATTAATGTTATTTTTTTTATCTAAAAATAATTAGGCCTTCCAGCAAGAAGGTCGCTGGTTTGCTGGTTCATTCCCCAATCCCAGATTAAGAATAAGATCTGCCCACCCCCACACCTCCGACTTTGTGAAGGATTTAAAGGTAGAAGATGAATGAAACAAAGGTTCTGGTCTGAAGGTCAGTTCTCTGACCTCTAACATTTCTATGCCTCCATTTTAAATGTGTCACATTTCATGAGGAAAAAGCCCATTTTTCCTCATTTCTGCTGCTGCCGATGTCAAAACAGACACATTAGTGTGGGGTTTTTTTTACACATGATTTAAAAAAAACCCATATGACATCACAGTAGGATCTTGGTTCTCAGGGACGTATATATATCTGGTGGAAGTTATTGTTTTCATATGTGAACCTTGGTCACCTGCCCTGCAGGGTGTGCTGTCTGTCTGTCTCTGAGAAATGCTGCATGCATAGTGTTTTAGAAACATCTTAAAGATTATAAATGACATCCTGCATAAAGTCAGCTTAATCCAACACCTTTCTTTCTTCATTCTTATATTCAATCATCAGATTCCCTACAGACGTTTGTGTTGCATTTTTTTTAAAACATTGTAGTTTGTGAAAAATAAGAACAACCTGACACTGGAAACAGCTGAGTCAGCTGAGTCTGCCCAACACAGACAGTTACACAGACCCAGTGTTGTTTTTACACCAGCAGACGAACTACAGTCAGAATCACACTGACAGCAACAGTATTTTAAAAAAATTAAGAAGCTTTTTAATTGTTGCCTTTTGTTTATATTTTTATAAAGTGAACCACAGCTTTGATTTAAACATTGTGGTCTAAACAGTTATTTAAATATTATGTTTTTTAAATACAACATTATTTTTAATTTTCTTTCGGTGGGATCTGGCTATTTTTATGCACTTTGTGGTGTAATTAACCTGCGACCTTTGGCATTAAATACATTTTTTAATATCATGCATTTTAGACTTTTTAAAATATATTTCAGATTTTTTTTAATTTTCTCATTGTGGGATGATTCCTGATGAATCAAAGTTGTCACATCAGGCAATGTATGTTAAAGATTTTGATTTCTTTTCAAATTCCTATTGGATTAAAAAGACTATAAAGATGATAAAGGACGAGACCAGAGTTTTTTTTCCTGTGTGTGCAGATGAAGCCAAAAATTCTGCTGCTCATAAATGAAATTTAGGTGAATAAACTAAATTAGAAGGAATATAAATTGTTTCGATGATAATAAATATGACGTTTTTGAGACTTCATGAGATGTTGGCCTTTGTTATTTAGCTCTTTACAGAGAGAAAAACAATTATTTTGTGCTGATTTTTTTTTTTAAGCATTGGACTTTTAAACATGTAGGGCCTTTTCTAATGACTTTAATGAATTTCTTGAGTCTGTCAGGAAAGCAGCAGCTACGTTTGTGATTAAATCATACTTTAACAGTGTCATTTTAATGGATACAGCACGTGTTTTTTTTGTTGTTGTTTTGTTTGTTTATTTGTTATGTACGTTTTGGTTTATGAAATTAGACACATTTTTAAATGTAAACATCATTCTTAGAACTTCACTTTTAGAAATGTGTTAAGTCTTTACGAGAAAATATGTTTTTATTCAAGGTTTGAAGCTGAAGAATTAGACTGACCTAACCTGCTTTTAGTGGATAATGTGTTTAATGAGACTGAAAACCAGCTTATTTGCGATAGAAAAGCAAACAAGCAGAATCTTCAAGGAATGTTTGGCGGAGGAACACATTTTATGTGCACAGTTGCACAGTTCTACTGGATGCTGAAGT